GCTTGCTGTCGGGGTTGCAGCACCACTCGTAGAGGATGGTGGTGTTGCTCGAGATTCCGCTCGAGTTCGTAGTTTGCTTAGCCAGGTCAGCCTTGAGCGCCTGGCTGACTGTGTGTGGCTTAACGCCGCTCTTATTGGTGACGATGGCCGACCGCTTGCCGGCGGTCAGCTGCAGCCTTGTCCCTTTCTTGAGCCTCCGTACCTTCATCTGCTCCTCCTCCACGATGTTGACCTCCTTCGGGTCGTTGTCTTTCTCGATGTCCAACGTGACCGAGTTGCCGAAAACGCACTCGGAGCAGAACCCGAGGTGGCAGCAGTCGGTATAGGACTTGGCGCCGCAGGCCACGCAATCGGCGAGGGGCTCGGCGACGCAGGTAGTGGCCGACATCGTTGTTGGAGCAAACGTCGGCGGCGTGACCGCCGTCGAACAGCAGACCAACGCAGAGCTTACGGCGGCCATGAGCCTCGAGCTGCCGCCGCGTCGCTGTTGAAGTCGTCTCGGTACATTTAGCTCCTTCTTGGGAATGAGTCTCGTGATATTCTCGAGCAAGTTGCTCGCCTTCGTAGTGATGTTGACATTGGGCTTCGGGACTGGCCGCTTGGCGATGCTCTTGGTACTAACAGCCTTCGGTCCAAAATCATGCCCCGCGCCCTTGATGGCAAGCCAAGTCCTCCGGGTGGAGGTCAATCGCGGGATGTCCTGCGCTGCTCGTGATGAGCTTCTGGGACTGGTTCCCGATGCGAATCTGTTCCCGCCAGAGCGAGATGTCGATCTTGCTCGGCTGGATGAAGTCCCGGCCGATAAGCAGGCCGAGCGTGGGGCTGTCCACGACGCTGAATATTATGCGACCAGCGCGGCCACACAGGACGAGCGGGGCTGTGACGCGCATCTTGCTCGGGAGCGTGCCACCGTTCCCGAACCTGTAGACTTCGTTCTCTGGCTCCTCCAGGATCTGGTCGGCCAGACCCATCTTGGTGAGCTTCTCCTTGTACCGCTTGTACCAGCTAAGCCCGCCAACGCAGAAGAGACAGGCAGTGTCGATCACGCCGACGCCGTCATCGTTGGGCTTCTCGCCAGCGTTGGTGGTGTTTATGGTGGGCAAGTCTGGCACCACGCGCTCGGAGACCAGAGTCTCGGGGGGCGGGGTAGTCGGACCTTCTGGATGAAGAATCACTTCCTCGTCGCCAAACTCCACGTGATTCTGGTCGTGGACCTGCTCGGTGATGTTGGCCTGGCGGTGCGAGCGACCTCCGCCGCCTCGTCCCCGCCCTTTTGCTTAGAATTTGGGGCGAACTTTCGAGCCCCTGGTGTCGGGCACTCCTTGTCACCGGTCCAGTGCCCCGCCTCGCCGCAGTCCCAGCACTTGGAGTTCTTCTTGCGCTGGTCTACGCGGCCTTGTAGCTTGCCCGCGGGTCGGCGCTTGGCCGAAGCCTTCCCGCGGCCCTTGATAGCTTCCCGGGCCGACCGCATGGTCGCCATGGCCTCGGGAATCGCGGCGAGCTCCGCCGCGGCAGCCTCCACCTTAGCAGAGTCGTCCCGATCGAACACCTCGCCGAGGTCGTAATTTGACTGCTCCAGCTCGGCGCTGAAGGCCTCGAGCTCCTGGCGCACGATGTCCTGGACGTCTGCCTCCGTATCGTTGTCGTCGCCGTCCTCCGAGTCCTCATGCTCGTCTTCTGGCTCGTCAGCGATGTTGGCTGATCGTGCTCGGCTTGGCGGTGAGCGCTGCCAACTACTGTTTGATCGCTGCGGCCACGATCGTGACGGCAAACTCGTGTGTCGTTCAGATGTGTGAATATCAGGGAACATGCGCACCAGCAGGCCCCTGATGCGCTGAAATGAGTAGTGCTCGTCCGGCAAGTTGCCTACGACGCGCTCACGGCGCTCGGCCGTGAGCCCAGCCTTGCGTAGCAGGAACCAGCCGGCCACGTCGTCAAGCGTAGTGAGGTCAACCTCGTTCTCACGTAATTGCTGTAGTCCCGCCTCGAATCGCACGAGCCAATCCGTCATGCGTTCTCCACGGCGGCGATGGTCATGAGTCGACTCGAAAAACTTTTCAAGCGTCTCTCCCTTCTGCACCGGCTTCTGCTGGCCTAGGTTTGCTTCGAGGTGCATCAGTACGTTCTCGATGCCCTTCTGGTTGCGATCGCGCTTCTTCTCATTCGCATCCTCGATGCCGTCGTCCGGCGGCGGGTGGAGCTCCTGCTCCGTCATGTTGAGGGCGGCCGACCTGGCTGTACCCGTCAGACGCAGGACTAACTTCGATGCCAAGCTTTGTGTCACTTCCAAATTCTCACTGAGCTTCCACAATTTTACCTCCTGTTTGTAATCTCGCCATTTCGCTGGATCTCCATTCCAGCTTGGTATCACTGACTGATTGTGTGTGAACTCCGTCATCTTGACACCTTCGTAGGTGGAGTATGTGGCGTCGCTGACACCGTCGTAGTAAAAGTATATGGCGTCGCTGACACCGTCGTAGGAGAAGTATGTGGCGTCGCTGACACCGTCGTAAGAGAAGTATGTGGCGTCGCTGACACCGTCGTAAGAGAAGAATGTGGCGTCGCTGACACCGTCGTAGAGGAAGTATGTGGCGTCGCTGACACCGTCGTAGAGGAAGTATGTGGCGTCGCTGACACCGTCGTAGAGGGAATATGCCGCGTCGCTGACACAGGCGTAGGAGAAGTAGCTGTCGTCGCTGCTGAGGGTGGGAAGGAAGATGGAGTCGCTGGCGTCGCTGACGCTGGCGTTGGAGCTGGCAGGGATGTAGGCGTAGTGGGCGTAGTCGCTGGCGTCGCTGACGCTGGCGTTGGTGCTGGCGTCGCTGACGCTGGCGTAGGTGCTGGCGTCGCTGACGCTGGCGTAGGTGCTGGCGCTGAGCAACAGCGCGAGGAGACCGCTGGGTCTCGATTCCAGTATGGATCGCGACGTCGCAGACGTCGTCTTGAGTATGCGGCCCCGCGGGCCGGGATAGCGAACCTTGCTCCAAGCTACCACTGTGATATGGATATCGCTGATATCGTTTGTCGAGGAATCGCGCGGCGAAACTCTCTGCGTAGCTCTAAGGCCAAGGGCCCTAGTTTGAAACAAAACGGCAGCGGCACGAGCGAGCATAAGGGATAGAGCGGGGATACAGGAAGGGCACAGGGAGTGAGCGGGAATCACAGCGACAACCAGGCACCAAAGCTGGTTGGAGTCGCTCTCGGTGAACTTCTCGACGTCGATATTGCTCGACTCCTCCGACGCCGCAGACATCGGCTTTTTCAGACCAAACGACGCCTTGTAGGCCTCCGACCTGGGGCATCAGTCGCCCAACTTTTCGTCCGTGCCGACGAACCACTCCCAGTTGATGCCATCCCTAGTGGCGACGACATCGTGCGATGGTGGTCGACTCGCCTTTCCGCCGGCCAAACAAAGCCGTGTAGGCCTCAGACCTGGGACACCAGTCGCCCAAGTTTTCGTCCGTGTCGACGAACCACTTCCTCCTGATACATCGAGCCCTTCAGCACGACAGTGGCGGCTGCAAGCGGACACCTCCGAGAGCAGGCGACCGCCCCGGACAGGCATTCACGCCCTGCTACAATGTGACAGAACCCATGATGCTCTTTCGAACCTAATCCAGCCGAAGGGCGTACAACCACCGTGTCAGATCTGCCGCGCACTCTCGATCCAACTGCCGCCACGTTCCATGTACTGCCCAGATGTACACACATCGCTGCAGTCGGGACGTACTGCTTTTTCCAGGGTTCCCAACCTGCCCACGCGCAATTCCGTGTTGCGCGCGTCGCGCGAGGCGAAACATGTGAAGAAGGTGAGAGACCAGCGGTGGCAGCAGCGAAATACATGGCACAATGCAGCCCCCCGTCCGTCTCCGACAGCCTGCCTTGGCCCGTGCCCAACGCTTGAAGTATAACCCTCCAGACCAGCTGCGCAGGAGAGGGGGGAATGAGATAGCAGAGAGCGGTGGGGAAGGACAAGCGCGGGTGGAGGAGGTGGAGATAATCGTCGTCCGTGGCCGCGTCGAAATCGTCCCCTGACATCCGACGTTGCGAGAAAAAACACACCATCGCAAAAAAAACACGACCACAACCTCAGACCCCATCTTCCTGCGGCATGTTTGAAGCCGGATCGATCTGTTATGGTCCCAGGTCCAGCAGCTGGGCGAAAACGCCCGGTGCCAAAAAATAGCAACGCCTGGATCTCAGGGTCGTCCTCGTCGTCATCGCAGTCGGCATTAGGCTCGCCGATCCTCGCTATCGTCGCCGCCTTCGTCGCCGCTGCCGACGCCTTCGCCTCAATCGAGGACGCCTGTCCCAGGCCGGCTGGAAAGTTTATAGCCCTACGGTGACAGATTGGGCAACAACTTTTCAGCCATCCTGGTACAGGCCCCCCCGATAGCGGACAAGTTTTTGTTGTACTGTTCATTTGCACACTACTCAGTTGCACGGGGAAGCGCTTCCTGGACCCTGGACCCTGGGGCCTTCCCCCGGGACGACACCTGCATCCTGAGTCGTTGTCTGACAATGCTGGGACCCGTCGAGGGCCCTGGGGGCCCGAAAACGGCGAAAAACCTCAGGACCCGTATCCCTCAAGACCCGCTTCCCCCGTGGCGACAACCACTCCCCGGGAGTTGCTAAAGGTACCCCTGGCCCCAGGTGCGCCCGACTGTTCGCTCCATTTTAGAGCCCATTGGGCCTCCTGGGCCTCGTGAGGGGTGCTCTGAAGGCCGTCGGGGCCTCCTCGGAGATCCTGGGGGCACCTTGGGCCAGGGGTACTTCCAGCATTAAGTCGGGCGTGTCCCCCTACAGGGGGATTCTCGACGAAAAATAAAAAATACTCAAGAAATACTCCCAAAATGGCAAATAAATACTCAAACCATAATCCCCAGACTACCTTTTTACAATTTTTTAATTTTCCCCCTGTAGAGGGACAGGCCCGACTTAATTCTAGCAGCACCCGACGTCCTTTTGCTCCCCCCCCCGCAGCCGGCGCGAGGGCTCTCCTCCCCCAGCTTGGCCCTGTGGTCTTCGCGCTCCTGGCGGATCTGCCTGGAGGTGTTGGCCGCCTACGGGGGGCAGGGCCGACAGTACGCAGCTGGTCAGCCCGCGGCCTCCTCCTCGACTCTCTCAGCCTTTGGTGGGCGCTTTTCGGGCCCCAGGCAAGACGAAGCCAGGACGAGGATACTATCGGGCGTGGATGCATCGAGAACCTCTGAGATCCCGCCGCTCTGGAGGATGTCTCGGGCGCCGCGGCCTCGTCGGAGCGTTCCGGAACGCTCTGAGAGTGTTCCAGAGCGCGCTGGAACGGATTTCTCCTCGTCATGGCCCCGTCTAAATCAAGCACCCCAGCAGAGCACTCTAATGACAGCAGCAAAAGGTTCGGGGGGGCACGAAGGAGGGGTCAGGGCACGAAACGCGTGAAACGGGAGCATCCAGCTCAGCCCCACCTTGGGATAACCCTCCCTCTACGAACCCCCGAAAGGTGAAGAGGCATGTCGAGGAAGAGGAGGTCGGCTGGTAGAAACGCGCCGGGAGTCTCCGGCGAAACGGCTGCCAGGCCGGGCGACTGGGGGGCTTCCCGTCCCCCTCTGCGGGACTGTTCCGTGGCCCTCGTCTACAGCTACTGGGGAGAAGTGGATCCAGGACGAAACTCTACCCCGGGGGAAAGGGTCGGGGAACAAGGAGGAGGACAAGGAGGAAGAGGAGGAGGAGGAGGACAAGTTCCAGAGGGAGGAGGAAGAGAGCAGCAGGACGAGGAAGAAGCAGGAAGGGAGGTGTCCCCCTCCCCCTCCTCCTCCTCCTCCTCCTCCTCCTCCTCCTCC